CGCAGTGGATTACATTGTTTCTGAAGGGAATGCCCTCCCGATCTACATAAATGCGTCTATGTTTGCGCAAATCACTCATGATCCAGCCTCATCTACAGAAGAAGTGAGTACAATGTTTTGTGAAGAATCTTTGCAAATCGCCTTTCCTAATAATGTGCTAATTAGCAAGTTTCACAATGAATGCGGCTAAAGTAAACAGTCTCTGAGAGCAGCTCGGAAGGGGCGGGGTCAGCAGAGCTCATTAACATTTAAAGGAACATGCTACAAAAACAGCTTGATCTGAAAAGCGCTGTTTTTGACAGGGTAAAAAATTTGTTTTTTTACACTACCATTGAGAAATTTTAACCAAACTATGTTACAGACTTTTCATTAAGACCCTAAAGAATCATATTAACTTGTGGAAAATGGGCATCCTATGACCCCTTTAATGTTTGTTCTTATTTTATAATACACACAGGAAGACATAAGTGCTTTAGTAAGAGGAAAGACTAGTGCAAATAGTAGCAACCATTGCAGTAACACTCGTGCTTAACACCACAACAGAAAAGCATCCTGAGTTTTCTCAAATGTATCTTCATGAATTCAGAAGGAGCTGAAGAAATGTACCGTTACTGATCGTCGAGACTTGACTTATTCCCAGCTTGAACTTTTAATGTGAACCACTAGCAGCATTTAGACCGTAAGTAAAGAGTATGTTTGCAATTGCAGGTGGATGTTACCTTCGTAAGTACTGGTTAAGACTGTGACCACATTTACATGCAAAATCATTTCTGATCAAAAAATCCTTCACAGCAACTGGAATATTCCTGTATACATGTAATCAGCATATAAACTAAGACATGCATGCCTTTTCCTGCTATTCCCCGGTGGAAATACTGGAGATTTTAGAAATTCTGAATAGTAATGACAACAACTCATAGCACAATGACATGCAAAATGTATACTACCTTTCAAAAAGTTTAGGGTTGGTAAGATTTTTTTTGTTTTTGAACAACTCTTATGCTCACCCAGGCTTCATTTATTTAAAGAAAAATATAGCATAAACAATAATACTGTGAGATATTATTGCAATGTAAAATAACTGTTTTCTATTTTAATATATTTTAAAATGTAATTTATTCCTGTGATGGCAAAGCTGAATTTTCGGCAGACATTACTCCAGTCCTCAGTGTCACATGATCCTTCAGAAATTTAAGTGTTGAAAACAGTTGTGCTGCTTAATATTTTTGTGTAAACTGTGATACATTTTTTTTTAAAGATTCTTGGACGAATAGAAGGTTCAAAATAACCGCATTTATTTGAAATATAAATCTTTACTGGTACTTTTGATCAACTTAATGCATCCTTGCTGAATAAAATTCTTAATTGTTCTTTCTTTTTTGCAAAAATAAATAAATAAAAATCTAACATCCCAAACTTTTGAATGGTAGTGTAGGTCATGACATTTTAATGTTTGTCTAAAAAATAAAGTCAAGTCTCCTATTTGCTCCAACATTGTTCACTCATAACTACATACAACAAACAGTTGATCTTCCTAATAAGGTGTTTACGTGACTCAAAATGATGATTAATACAAGCTTAAGTCAGAATATTGCTTTAATCAGGTCATGGAAATCTAAAATTTTCATGTGCATGTAAACGTGGTCACTTGTAGCAATTATTATATCATTATTAGATTAGAATGAAGTTATTTTCCCCCCAAATCAGCACATAACCATAAATGAATGTTGGCATCAGAGATTGAGGAAGGAGAAGACAGACACTTGCTCACTAGATGTGTGTGAGCCTGCAGTTCTCTCACAGCTTTTCTCAATTGCACAGTCTGTGCCTGTAGTGGCTTCTACACTTATCTGGGTGTCTGACTCGACAGGAACAGGCTCGACCAAACATACAGGTTTGCTTCTGTTGACTAACTCCATTCCACTGAAGAGTGACAGTCTGGGTGGCTCTGAGATCTTAGAGGTTTCTGTGTTCCTGTACTCCCCCTCTTCTTGTTCTCTTTTCATATGAGAGCCAGGTACAGTGCTGTTACCCTGTAGGTGTTGTGTAGATGGGGTCTCCTCTGATGGGATAACAGAGGTTGCGTTTTCTCCTAGTTGTCCCGGAACAAAGGGGACGATTATAGATTCAGGAGGCTGATCTGAAAGCGAAGAGCTGGCAGAGGTTGGACATCCAGCACGGTCACATTTGGAATTTGTGACACAACCAAGCAAGGCCTCAAACTGCCTTAAGAGCTAAAGAAACAAAAATAAAGTAATCCTACATAATTACAAAGATAATAAAGAAAAATTGTTGTCATTGCTAGCAATGTTTGCTCCGAAATTGCTAGTATATTTCACAATTAGTCACAAAATGGAATTGAATTAAAGGTGAAATATAAAAGCAGAAAGACTGAAATAGTATTTTCTTGTAAAACATACTCAAATAATTTGATAGATTCCAATCATTTTATTTTGAAAAACTTTTCATGAAAATTGTGTAGGGCAACTGTTACCTTGGTTGCCTTGTTGGCGACAGGGCCTGTGGTTCCTTCGCTAAGTTGGGCAAGGCGTTTGTTTGTGATATTGAAAATATGATCTAAAGAGAGGAAATCTGAAGACATCAGGCAGGCCAGAGCACACATTGCCCTCTGCAGGAAGGAAATACAAACTGGTTATGCTGTATGGTATCAATATAAACTGCTCATGCAAGTTAAATAAAAAAAAATGTTTATTTGAAATAATATTCTGAGTAGTGTAACAGAATAGGAGACTTTACCATCTGGAGGATTTGTGTGTGGTCCTGGAGTTTGCGAGACAGAAGTTCAACGACCACCTCACAGTTGAGAGTGGAGCATCTGAAAGAAAACAAGGATCAATATGTACACAATTTTAGCTTTGATGCTGCATGCACTGACATTACAACCCAAGAGTATACTGTAGATCGCTATATGTCTACACTGATGCCAAAATCATGCACATGTCTCATAATGAATCATTTACTCTTTGATAAAATGCTGGCTCTCTTCTCTGGACAGGAAGACTTTTGAACCGCTGGTCAGTTTGTTGATAAGTGCCGTCTCCTGACCACAGTCCCCCAACTGAATGGCCTCCACACTGATTCAAATCAACACAAATATCACAAAATAACAATGTGAATCTCACACAACCTCAAAAGAATCAAATTGAAAAATAATAATAATTATTATATTTTGTTTTGTGAAAATCAATCCAATTTTATAATCTCATTCTCGTTACAAAATAATTGTGGTCAGTAAGATTTAAGAAATGAATGTTGCAACAAAATTGATCAAAATTGACAAAGACATTTATGTTACTAAACGTTCTATTTCAAATAAACACTGTTCTTTTAAATATTTAAAAAGATTCAAATATTAAACAGCACAACCATTTTCAACATTGGTGATAATAATAACAGTTTCTTGAGCACCAAATCAGCATATTAGAATGATTTCTGAAGGATAATGTGACACTGAAGACTGGAGTAATGATGCTGAAAATTCAGCTTTGCCATCACAGGAATAAATTACATTTTAAAATATAATAAATAGAAAAGTTATTTTTGATCAAATAAATGCAGCCTTGGCGAGCATTATAGACTTCTTTCCAAAAAAAAAAGCCCAAGTACTTACACATATAACTATAATAATATTTGTTGTATATTACTGATTTATTTTTTAAAAAATGCATAAATTATATTTGTATTGTAATATAGTTATATATTACTGCTTTACAGTAATGATAATCTGAGGGTCATTGAGAAAAAAACAACAACCCTAAAACATTCCAAATTCATTATGATAAAGAGAGTTTATGCTTAATTTAACTAATAATTTAATGGTTCTAAAAATAATATAACAATGCAAAATATAATATTATTTTTTATATATTATAGTTCTTGTGATTTTGTTGCAAATTATGACAAATGACATTGGATGCTGCTGTCTTAATACTGCAAATAAGACGCCAGCATTAAATTTCCCCTTAGCTATGCAATGACCTGGCGTTAATAACCTCAAACACTTGAGAAAGCAATGTGTGCTGACCTCCATCAAGGACAAGAGCCCTGTAGCCATCTGTCCCTTACCGCTCTGATAGGTCACCGCTCTCCCGACTCGCCCCGGAGTGGCTGCCCGAGCCGCCCGACTTACTGCTTCCTCCCAGTGAGGTCTGGCTGGCTTCTGCAGTCTCCTGGGATGAGTTGTGTGAGGAGCTGTGCCCACTGTCCATTTCCTCCCAGCCTCCACCAGCCTGCCCTGGGCATCTGTGAGATGCTGCGAGGAGGAGAAATGGTCATTTCTTTGACATTCTTAACATGCACTTGACCTGCTTTTAAAATCAGTGCATGGCTCACCTCTGTGGCTGTGGGATGGGACGTTGTAGGCACATGCTGGCACTGCCATCTCCACA